TTTTTGAGAGCATCCGAGCAAAAGAATGAATGGAGAACCATGATCGCCGATGTCTGTCGCAGATCTGGCACTGGATTATGATGATGATTTGTTGTTGGGGGCAGGGTCGAAGCGTCTATATAATCAAATAATCACTGCTTCCCTTCCTAATTTCGAAACATTGTCGCTGTCAAATTCATTCTTAAACGTAAACCTCTTAAATTAAATGTAAAAAGACGTTCGTAATCAACAATGAACAGTATGCCTAACATTCAAAACGGTTTCACGGCCACAGAAATAGCCTCCTCACCCCTTTCGGGCCACTCCATAAGCAGTCGCAAGCTTTGATTTAGTAAGCTTAAAGTAAGGCTGGAAGAGTCTACCAATAGAATTGAAGGGAACATGTGCATAGCAGTCAAAGCTGTTTCATTGCTACATATACCATGTTCACCCCTTTGGGGCCACAGTTATAATCAATCGCAAGCCCTGATTAAGTAAGCTAACTAACACTGGTCGAGTCTACCTCACAAATGTAAGGGGAACTAACTCCTAATAATATCTTGACTGTTCCATGTGCTTGTTTTTTTTCCTCGACTTTTTACCGTCCTATAATCAGATCGTGACCTCGATTATGACACCAGCTCCTGGCCGCAAAAGGCTAACAAAAACAGCCAAATGTGAAATTTGAAAAATGATAATTGCCATGTTCTACCAAAGAGTTAGACTCACTGGTAGATCTATAACATATAGATCTAGTACTGACATCTTTGCTTCTTTGCTTTGTTTTTATGTATTCACATCTAAAGTTAAATTTGTGGTTGGTTGGCGGGTGCTCTGGTGTGGTTTGCTTCTTCTTTCCTATCAAACGTCTATCGTCCTGATCTCTCCTCCTTCTATTTTGTGTTTGTTCCTCTCTTGTAACACCTCTAATCTTCGGCACTTATATGACCTTATTGTGTTGCAAGTGCCGTAAAACTCTTTACTAAAACTAAACTAAAAGTTAAATTTAATTTTAGTTGGAACTGATATTTAAAAAGATACTTTCCCGATTATTTTGGCGGTTGAACATACAATATGAATTCCGGATTTGTTTTCATTCACAACTCAGAGTCGCCGCCTCGAGTAAGATTCTTGTGTGATATCTACAGGCCATATCTGATTCTGATCCCGTTTCACTTTGATTACCCTGTCAAACAAGTCAGCCTTCGCCCCTGGTTGGGGGGATATTATGAGTGTGGAAAAGTCTTTAAAATCTAAGGCAGTCACCAGAACGAACAGAAAAGAAACAGTTAAGTGAGTTTTGAAGCTACGGTCGACATCATAACAATGAGAACTTATTGGGCATTATCGGGTTCATTGTACGCCTGACTGAAAATAAAACTGTCCTGGTACATTTGTGTATTTTTTAAGGGCACGCAATGACACAATTGCACTTACAGATAAAATCATATTGTGGATTGTTACTGAAGGGTGGAAAAATGAGAAGACACTTTTGTCAGAAGGCATCAGACCACCAGCAATCGAGATCTTGCACCTCCATAATATGGTGCCAGACAGAGAACAAACAATTTTCGCAGAATCTAGTATAGTATGTATATATATATATACACACAGTGTGAGAGAGAGAAAGTGTGTGTGTGTGTGTGTGTGTGTGTGTGTGTGTGTGTGTGTGTGTGTATGTGTGTGTGTGTGTGTGTGTGTGTGTGTGTGTGTGATATATATATATATATATATATACATATATATATATATATATATTAGGAATGCTTATTTAGGCCACATATGGCCTAAATAAGGTCAACCCCCCCACCTAACATTATTTAGGCCACCTGTGGCCTAAATAAGGTTTCCCCCTCCCCGGTACATTATTTAGGCCACATATATGCTCAGAGAGAGAGAGAGAGAGAGAGAGAGAGAGAGAGGGAGAGAGAGAGAGAGAGAGAGAGAGAGAGAGAGAGAGAGAGACCCTAGTCACTTAGTTTGGTATTGACCTGTCCCCGTAAAATTATGCGAATTTAGATGGCCAAATTATGCCAAAAAAAGCCAAATTATGCAAAAATTATGCAAGTTACCGTAACACCTTTCGCGACATGTTTTGCACTTTTTCAACACAAATTTTCATGACTTTTATCATGTTTTAAGTACAGAAAAATTTAAAACAGAACATATCAGTATCAGTAATTTGTAGTGTATTTGGAAAGAAAACAATACACATCTGTTAAAAAAAAACAAAAAAAAAACTAAAAAATATAATCTCTGTAACTTTCAGCTGTAGATCTAGATCTGGGAAAGAAAAATGTGGGAAAAAAAAAAAAAAAAAAGGACATCTGGACCTCTGATGCTGGCACATTACTAAAACCAGGAACACCTGTCAAACATGAAGCATCAGCAGACATGAGAACAACAACTTTTGATGGATTGAAAAATTGAACATGCTCAAGGAACAATTTCCCAAACCATAATCAAGATCTTCTACCAAGGGAAATAACCAACTTTTCACTTAAATAAGACTTATTATGGTGATTATTTCCCTTTAGTCACATGGCGAGGCGTTAATTTATAAAATTAATTGTTTTGTTTAAAAAAAAGGAAAAAAACGTGAAACAACGCGGGGAATCCAAAATTATGCAAATGTGCAGAATTACGCGGCCGTGGCCGCACAATCGCATAATCCTACAGGGACAGATTGACAACCAGTGACCAGGACAGCTTTCGCTCCCACAATGCGTAAACGCCCGCCCGAGTAGAGAAACAGACCAGTGTGTAACATTCGATTTCAACTCAAACAAACATTTAACAACTCTCCTTACCATAACACCCCCTCCCCCCAGTGGCGGTGGGTAGTGAAGGGTTCACGAGCACACACGCACACACGCTTTATACACATACACACGCGCGCGCACGCACGCACGCACATACACACACACGCACGCGCGCGCGCGCACACACACACACACACGCACACACACGCACACACACGCACACACACGCACACACACACATGGCTTACACAGGAAACAAAACAAACACAAAAAACCCTTCCACTTGGTCTGGTTCGAAAAAGGGACGCAAAAGATCCAACAATCCCTGAGAGTGAGAACACATTGACATACAGATTATATAGTCACATAGAGTGTACAACATCTCAACAGAAAAGACCGAGATACTCAATACACGTATAATTCTTTCCAGTCAGGAAACGAACCCAGGTTCATAGTGCGTGCGAAAGAGCAAATATAACCACTACATCACAGAAGAAAGTTGCTTGACTGACTCTCTCTCTCTCTCTCTCTCTCTCTCTCTCTCTCT